CCCCCCCTCTAGCGCCCTATCCATCATCAACCACAGTCCTTCGGCTGCAATTAAGAATAAGAATGGGGCCAACGGGTCCCTCTATTTCAAGCCCCTCCCAATACTAACCTCCTAGGTAGGACTACCATTCACCAGCGCTGACAAGCTACCTCGACAAACACACCCCTCCATCCATCTAACCCACCTCTCATCAAAACCAAAACCACGCAACATATATAACAAATAGTCTCATTCAATCGAGTCATATGCCTTCTCATAATCAATTTTAAGCACAAAGATACTCTTTTTATAACGTTTCGCAAAATCAATCGTCTCATTTGCAACCAAAAAACTATCAAGCATGCTACGACCTGGAACAAAAGCCGACTGACGGTGTGAAATAATCGAAGGGAGCACACCACACAATCGATTCGCCAACACCTTCGATAATATTTTGTACATGCATCCAAGAAGAGAAATTGGCCGAAAATCAGACATGTGTTGAGGACAAGAGACTTTAGGAACCAGCGTTACAAAATAAGACAAAAGGACCTTCGGAAGCGTAAGATTATTATAAAAGCCAGTCAAAACTTGCAACACCTCAGTACGCATCAACCGCCATAATTTCTTAACAAAGGCAAAATTAAACCCATCCGGGCCCGGACTTTTATCTCCATCACACTCTGCCAACATAGCACTTACTTCCTCCTCTGAAAATGGAGCCACAAGTGTCAAATTCTGTTGAGAAGAAATGCCAAATACACCCATAAAATCCAGCCTAGGCCTATGCCACAACCTGCCTGAAAAGTGATCAGAGAAATAATCCACCACCACCCCTCGAATACCCTGAACATCCTCAACCGACCTCTCACCAACAAACAAAGCATATATTTGGTTGCAGCGTTGTCGCCCCCGGAGACAAGCATGAAAGAACTTTGAATTCAAGTCACCATACTTAGTCCAATGCACCCTCGCCTTCTGGGCAATTAAACACTGATTCCTCCTTCGTGCACTCCAAATCTCAGACAAGACCTACTTTTGTCGTAGTAACTCCACCAAACTTAGATCCTGCACCTCATTCTTATCATCTAGGGTCTGCAACTCAACAGTAAGAGAAGAAATAGTCTTGTTAAGGTTACCGAATACCTCACCATTCCACTTCCTCAATGCCTGTTTAACATTACCCATACGGACCCGAACACGTTGAGCTGCCCAAAGTTTTTCAACAACACCATCCCAAGCCTGACAAACCACTGACTCCAATCCAGGATGATCAAGCCAACAGTTGTTAAATCGGAACGGCTTCGGACCCCAAATAAGCACTCTATACTTTAACACAAGCGGACAATGGTCAGACACATCCCGAGGGTAGGGATGTCAAAACGGGCCAGCGCGCCCCGTTTTGGCTCACCCCGCCTTTGGCCCGCCAAAAGCGGGGCGGGACGGGTTGGCCCGATATAGTCATGACGGATCTGTAGACTTGGCCCGCCCCACCAAGGGCGGGTTAGTGGCTGACCCGCCATAATTTAGAAAAAAATAATTTTTTTTAAATAAATTTTTTTAATAAATTTAATAATAAGATTATTATTTGTTTGTCAATAATTCAATATATATATATATATATATATATATATATATTTGTTATTATGTATTATTATATAAATTTTATTATTGTTCTAAATTATAATTTCTTAAAATAATGTATTGATTTATATTATTAAATTGAAATTATATATATATATATATATATATATATAAATAACGTTAAACTTACAAAATTTATATGTTTTATATTGAAAAATTCAAATACTTATATCTTTTTTATTTGATAAAACTTCATATTATTCTTGGTTGAGTAATTCTTACACCTTTAATTCAAGTAATAAGGATAAAAATAATCGAGTGCTTAGGATAAACAAGGAGAACAGGAGAGAATGTTATATTTCGGGAAGGAGAATATTTTACGTGAGAATGAAACTTTTTTAATTCTGTTTTTAAAAATTTTAACTTCATATATTATCTTTATAATTAATTTTATTACAATAAAAAAATATTTTTTTATTAATTAGGCGGGCCGCGAGCTGGCCCGCCCCATCCTGCGGGTTGGCCCGACGGGTTGGCAGGGCAGGTTAAAGCGGGCTGATGGGTTGAAAATACTAACCCGCCTCGCTGGGCCTAGCCCGTTTTACCATCCCTACCCGAGGGAGGACAGATACATAACACTCACCCCAAGTGTTGATCCATTTTTCCGATATCAACATCCTATCCAACCGACTCATCAGTAGCCCATCCCCCCGGAACCATGTAAACCGCTTTCCCACTAGTGGCAAATCTACCAGGCCCATCTTTGCAATAAAACTATTAAATTCAAGCATATCAGATACATTAACCACACCCACTCCTCCCTTCCTCTCAGACTCCCGGCACACAGAGTTAAAGTCACCCACTACACACCACAAAACATCACCAAAGCCTCGAATTGACATAACAAGATCAGCCCACAACTTTCTCTTTTCCAACAGGCGACATGGAGAGTACACGTTGACCACAATACACCGAACACCACCATTTCCCCAACTCAAACATACACCTAAGTAAGCCAACCCAGAAAAATAAAATTGTAAGGTACCTTGAGTCGAGTCCCAAATCAAAATAAGTCCACCACTGCGCCCCTGAGAAGGACAACTCAGCCAATCAAACCCAGACGAACCCCAAATTTGCGAGCACAATTGACGGTCACAACCCTCCAACTTTGACTCCTGTAACGCAATAAAATCCACACGTTCACATCTAATCAGCTCGGAGACACGACAACATTTAACCTCCGACCCCAGACCCCTACAATTGAAAGAAGCTATCTTCATGGATCAACCGATTCTCCCCTCTTTTTTTCCACCAATTCTCTGTCACGGATCTCTATAGCCACTAATTTCTCCCTCACTTCTGATTCATTATCCCGCACCACAATCTCCACTGAACGAAACAATTCCATCACCTTATTTGCCACCACCTCATCATTCGCACATAGAGGGTCAACCTCCAAAGACACGCCAATCTCACTATCGAACACAACATGATCTGGCACCAACAATGCGACCCCATCCTCCACTAACGCACCAATACAACTCTTTTGACCCATGATATTTCTACCATGAACTTTCCTTAATGTGTGTCGCACATTGGATCGCCCGGCAAAAACTCCCAATTTGGTTGGAATGGGGACCCCAGGAACACCAGTGTCTTGTGCCACCCTCAATACTTCCTGGGCATGCTCTGGCCAAAGCAATTGATCCAACCCGAACGGATCACTACCAGATCCATTTACCTCGCCCACATGACACAGTAACTCCTGCGTATTCACCCCCTTAGACTAAATACCACCCATACTCTCTGCCACACCACCTTGTCCAGCATCTCCACTGTGCACATGCTTTCGACCAACACCATCCGGCACTACTACCGGATCTTGTAGCCTCGCTGAAGGCCTCACTTCTAGGATTTCCTCAACCACCGTCTCTGCACCCACTCCCTTATCATTAGGAGGCAATTGCTCCTCCGTAACAGCCCCCACAATCGACGTGCCAACCACCGTCCCAGACCATACTCCAACCACACCATCTCCAATGCACCCTTCTTCCCCCGACGAATAATTTTCGACCTCATGCAAGTCCAGAGACGCACCTTCCATATAATCAGAGCCAATCGAGGATTCATCATCAGCAATATCCGCATGGAACTGACCTCCATGCTCCTCCACCATGCGTATCGTGAAGCATAAATCATTCATAAGTACTTTCGTCCCCTCATTTATCAACGCTGAAGCCGATGTACGTAATTGAACACGACCATAATCCAGTCTCCTCCTCCGCTTCGTAACCTCATCCACCTGAATAAATTCCCCTAGGCATGACACCATCTTCTTAAAAAACGTCTCAGATCACGCATGTAATGGCACCCCATAACAGCGAACCCAAGTTTCCCGTTGAACACACACCCCTGTCCTTGGATGCCACCAACCGACTTCATAAAACCAACGCTCCCAAATCTTCCTATTTTGCAACACAGTATCCTCCAGGTTCACCCCTGCATCTGACTCGATCAGGACTTTATCATCTCCCATCGTGGTCAGGACAATATCTGAGAATCCCGCCTATAACACCTCCTTCCTAACCCTAGTCAAGTCCTATCCGTGATTGAGGCAACCAACAAGAGTTTGACAACACTCCTCAAGAAACGACTCCTCCACTGCATAGTGTAAAGGACACCAGGGTTGTTCTGGTCGCTTCCCCTTAACTCTAATCACCGTTGGCTTTTCATATGCGTATGAAGAACCATCCACACCTGATCGCCTAACTACTCCCTCCCTGATGCTATGTAGTTTCACCGCATCCACAGACCCCCTAGCGTAACGGCTCAAATACACCTTCAATCGTTTCGTACCAATCACAATTGATCTGATCCCAATCTCCGTTCCATCATCTTCGCATTACAAACATCTACAAAGCGGACAAACCCAAACCTCCTCCCTACTTTATCAAGTTTCTTGGGTAAAAATACATCCACCACCTTACCCAACTGCCGGAAAATTTTCCATAGAGTACCGATCTCAAGTGGCTCCGGAATATTCGTGAAAAAATATGATGTTGAGGAGCTTAAGACACGCCCTAAATGCCCCCCCAAACCCCTTATTTTGACTCTCATTTCGTAACTCCCTCGATTGCCCTCCACCGTTACCTCTCTCCCAAACTCTACCATGGGCATTACTATCCCCTACTCTCATACTGCCTTTTTTCCTTATCATCTATCTAATCCCCTTAGGGTTCAACTTAACTACCAAATATTCCAATTATCTCTTAATCTTCCAACTTTCAAACCTCCACTTGACTAAAACGAGAATTTACCCTGTTTCAATTACCGAATGCTGAAGAGTGGAGACAATAACTTTACCTTTCCATTCTTGTAAACCCCATAAGCATTCTCCACTTTCATCAGCTTCTCCACAATCTACCAGGACCTTCCAGATGGCCCCTACCAAGCAAAAAATCCACAAGTCTACCGGCGGCAAGGTTCCTCTGAAGCAACTGGCGACGAAGGCTGCTCGTAAGTCTGTTCCGGCAATCGACGGAATGACGAAGCCCCACAATTTTAGGTTGGAACCTGAGGCTCTTCAATTAGTGTCTTGTCTAGTACCTTCGAATCACGACGCCCTTCACCGCCTGAACCACGCACCACCACAGCTAGCCCTCGCCCCTAAAACCACCGTACCCACCATTAGTCGTCACACACAACCCCTCTTCTCTTGATTTATTCTTTCCACAAGAGGAATAGAATAAAAATGAAAACAAGAGGAAGAGATGACCGAAAATGCACCCACACTTTTAAACAAATCAGCAATGCAAACACAATAGATAATGATACCTTTCATGTCAAGGAATGGAAAGAGAAATATGAAATGGAATCGCCACCGGAATTTTTCTCAAACACACCAGACAACAACATGGAAGCATAACGAACGGATAACATTCCAACTAAAGTTCACACGTGCACTTATTTCTTTTTCATTCTTTTTGGATGTTTTTTGCAATAAATCTTCCTTTTTCATTCTTTTCCAGTTAAATTCATGTCAACATTAATTTTGCCGACTTTTTTTCATAAATAATACTATTTTTAAAAATATTTTCCAAAATAACACATCTGGAACATTATTTACACAACTAGCACTCTTTACTGTTCACGTATTAAAATAATCAATTATTTTATATTATGATCGATTATTTCGCGCAATGAACTCTCGCTCAAGCGAAGAAACCCTTCGCTTGAGCGAGGAAATCTGTAACAAAGGGGTAATCTCGGATCAATTCTCGCTCAAGCGAAGAAACCTTTCGCTTGAGCGAGGAAATCTGTAACAAAGGGTAATCTTCAGTCAATTCTCGCTCAAGCGACGGGTATTTTCGCTTGAGCGAGAAGTGATTAAAATATGTGGTGACCCAAGTTGCGTTATGTGGCTAACTGCGTTGGACGTTTAGCCCATGGTCATTTCTCGCTCAAGCGATGAGTTACTTCGCTCGAGCGAGAATTGATGGGGTAACTGCGTTGGACCGTGGTCAATTCTCACTCAAGCTAAGTAACTATCGCTTGAGCGAAGAAATTTATAATCGATTATGATTTGAACTAATCGATCATAATTTTAAAATAATAGAATATACAAAATTATGATCGATTATTTCGCTCTCGCTCAAGCGAAGAAACTCCGCTTAAGCGAAAAACACATTAGATAGTGGTTCTAGAACTAACCGTTATTAAAAGTATATTTTAGATAGCGGTTAACGTGGAACCGCTATTATATGTTTACTTTTAAGAGCGGTTAAAGTGGAACCGCTATCATATATGGGTCACTTTTAATATCATATATGTGTCACTTTTAAGAGCGGTTAATATTTTAACCGCTCTTAAAAGTGAACATATAATAGCGGTTTCACGTTAACCGCTATCTAAAATGTACTTTTAATAGCGGTTAGTTCTAGAACTGCTATCTAATGTGTTTTCCGCTTAGTGGAGTTTCTTCGCTTGATTATGTAGCTCCTGCAGAATGAGTTTCTTCAAAACTTTTCACAAAACTTTCTAAGTTATTTTAATTGATAACAATAAGTTTTAATCGATTAAAATAGTTAGCAAAAATTTCCTTAAATAACCTTTGACTTCATCAAACCCACAAGATCTTTGTTTTATCAAATGATTCAATAAGATCTTCATCACTTTCAATTAATTGAAAAACTCCTAAGTTTCATACATTGAGACATTTCTTAACTAACACAATCTAATGATGCGAAGTAGATGCACATGTAACATTAGGACATGTTCTTCTGCTATGACCAGGGGTATGACAATATGAACATTTTTTAATCCTACTTTGATTTTCTGTAATGTCCATCTCAGTTCTTATACGACTTGATTTTGGTCAGCCCTTTGAAGTTCTTTTCATTTCTGGATTTGCACACAAAGTAGGTCCTGTGTATGTTGACCAATATTCTTCATTTCGCAATAACCCAAATTGTGTTCTGTATACCTTTGAAACTTGTTGTAAGGTATACACTGAATTAATATAGTTGTTGAAGTCATGGTGTGCATGCTTGCATGCAGCAAGAACATGTGAACAAGGCATGTGAAATTTTTGGAATTTCCCACAGTCACACCATAACTCATCAAGGTGAACTGCAAATTTCCCTGCTGGTTGAACTTCACGCGGGTTTTGTGTTTCTTCTACTACAAATTTTGTGGTAGACCTGTCAAACGTTATGACCCTATGCGTGTTTGTCTGTGTTTGTGCTTTCTCTAAATTTTTGACCAAAATTTCAGAGTATACATGACCAACATTGATCATGGCATCTATCTGCCTCCCTCTTTCAATGAAAAATTTGTTGCAACGGGTGTACGTTGCGGTGACCTTGGAGCAAATAGGTAGATTTCTTGTTTTTTTTTTCAAAACAGAGTTGATAGACTCTGCTATGTTGGTTGTCATGTGGCCCCAACGTCGTCCATTGTCCCATGCAAGTGTCCATTTTTCTCTAGGTATCTATCCAACCAATTAGCTGCTTTTATGTCATATTGCCTCAAGATGTTGTAATAATAGTAGAATCGTGGTTCAGTCATCACATACGCTACAACAATATTAAAAAAACATAGTTAATATAAATATTTATTAGCAACAATTAAATAATGAATAAATTGTAACAAATTCGAAGCAAAGGAATTACTCATATTTACAACATCTTTCCTCAGTGCGGTGTTTTTGAAACGTCTCATAAAATTATGTGCCATGTGTCTAATGCAGTAGACATGCATTGAATTATTTTCTGTCCATTCGCTTCCATTTCTCATGTATGCACTTCTAATGGATTCATGTCGGTCTGATATGAGGCATAATCCTTGTTGGGGTGTGACATATCTTTAAAGATTTTTTAAGAAAAAAAACCAGGCATCACTTGTTTCACCTTCAACCACTGCAAACGCAATGGGGAGGATGTTGTTGCGGCCATCTTGTGCTACTGCAACCAACAAGGTACCTCTATATTTTCCATACAAAAAAGTTCCGTCCACTTGAACAATGGGCTTGCAGTGAACAAATCCATCTATGCATGACCTAAACGACCAAAACACATGTTTAAAAATATTTGAATTTTGTTGAAGGACTTCACCTTGGTAAGCTGGTTGTGACTACAGTTTGTAGATGAATCCGGGAACAAATTGTTGCATCGCTTGTAACAAACAAGGCAACTTCTTATACGAATCCTCCCAATTGCCGTAGATGATCTCCACTGCCTTTTGTTTTGCCAACCAGGCATTCCTGTATGTTATAGTGTAACCCGTTGTTAATTGGATGTGGGCTATGATTGTGGAGATTGGTGTTGACGAATCAACATCAATTATTTGACCAATTGTTTGGGAAATCATTTTATATCCCAACTTGTTGTGGTCTTGGCTGATTAATGGTGAAACGCATGTATGGTGCCCTTCAAGCTTCATAATCTCCCAATATTGCTCTCTTGTGCGCAATATTGCTCGACATCTCCAATTGCATTGGTTATCAACACATTCAACAACATATCTACTTTAGTTTGAAATTTTCATCTTGTATGTGCAATGATTGACAATGTGAAAGCGGTTGATGACATCTTGAACTTGTTCTTTTGTTATGAAACATTGTCCAAGAAATAGAGTTCCTGCCGGAGAAACAAAAGACTCTCTGTCCAACGCATGACCATACTCTGGGTCTTGTTGTTGAATGTGATTTTCAAAGTTAAGAAAATGTTGTGGTGGGTTGTATGGTTCCATGAAGTTTGGTGCATGTGTAGGGATATGTGGTTGTTCGTCCTCTGAATCATCTTGGTGTTGGCTGAGAATTTCATCTTCGTCTTCATCCTCACTAAAATGATCAACGACTTCAATTGGGAGGCCAACAATTTCGTTCTCTTGTGTGGGTAGTTCTTCGTTGATGTTGGTGGAAGGCCCACTTAGCAGTTGGGTAAAAGGGATGTAGTCATTATGTGTGGGTATTTCTGGGTCAGTGTTTGGGAAAGCTTGGTAGGGTAAGGGTAAAATTTCTGGTGAGTGTGTGTTGGGGTATGAAGAAGAAGAAGTTTTAAATGAAACAAAAATTTCAATACCACATAGACTTGAGTTTGAATCATGAACATCGAACATGGCCTCCACGTCGTCATCATCTTTCAACTCAACAACAATGAAGTTGTTGATCCCAACTCCGAGTCTAGTTGGACAGCGAAAATGGATGGTTGCTACATTTTCGTGGGGTTCTTTCTCCGATTTCTTGTGGATCAACTTCTTCAACCTTTGTAGAGAAATTCCTCTCTTTAAAGGAACAAGTTTTGCAGTCCCAGTATTGAAGGTAACTCCCTCCATGGGACATGGGTTCATGAAACCATCATAGTGGACAATAGTAGACACTACACCCATTTTAGGAGTGTGGAACACAAAGAAGACTAAAAGTAAGAAGAAGAAATAATGCAAATAGCTTCAGAGATTTAAGAGTGTGCAATGTGAGAAATTCAAAGAATGAAAGTGGTCTATTTATAATGAAGTCCATTGGTTTGAATTCAATGCTCCCTCACATGGTTTCTGACGCACACAAAACCCAAGCAAAGTGGGTGGGTCAACATCTCTTTAAATATGTTTGGATTCTTCCGCTTTTGTCTAACCCAATGCAGGGAATCCAAGATTGGAATCCTAACTTAGGTGGGTAACTCGAGCATTGGATTCTTTACTTGTGTGCATCAGAAAGACATGAGAATCCTGACTTGGGTGGGTGACTCAGCATTGTAAATAGTTGCAGGTTTCCTCGCTCAAGCGATGGGTTTCTCGCTTGAGCGAGAATTGGCCACAGCTAAATGTCCAACGCAGTTAGCCACATAATGCAACTTGGGTCACCACATATTTCAATCACTTCTCGCTCAAGCGAAAGTACCCATCGCTTGAGCGAGAATTGACCTGAGATTTTAGATAGCGGTTCTACAACTAACCGCTATTAAAAGTATATTTTAGATAGCGGTTAATGTGGAACCGCTATTATATGTCGATTATTTTAAAATTATGATCGATTAGTTCACATTATAATCGATTATAAATTTCTTCGCTCAAGCGATGGATGTCTCGCTAGAGCGAGAATTGACCACGGTCCAATTATATATGTGTCACTTTTAAGAGCGGTTAATATTTTCACCGCTCTTAAAAGTGAACATATAATAGCGGTTCCACGTTAACTACTATCTAAAATATATTTTTAATAGCGGTTAGTTCTAGAACCGCTATCTAAAATCTCGGGTCAATTCTCGCTCAAGAGATGGGTACTTTCGCTTGAGCGAGAAGTGATTGAAATATGTGGTGACCCAAGTTGCATTATGCGGCTAAACGTCCAACGCGAGTTAGTCACATAACGCAACTTGGGTCACCACATATTTTAATCACTCTCGCTCAGCGAAAATACCGTCGCTTGAGCGAGAATTGACCGGAGATTACCCTTTGTTACAGATTTCCTCGCTCAAGCGAAGGGTTTCTTCGCTTGAACGAGAATTGACCCGAGATTACCCCTTTGTTACAAATTTCCTCGCTCAAGCGAAGCGAATGGTTTCTTCGCTTGGCGAGAGTTCATCATGCGAAATAATCGATCATAATATAAAATAATCGATTATTTTAATATGTGAACGAGTAAATAATGCTAGTTGTGTAAATAATGTTCAGGATGTCTTATTTTGGATAATATTTTTAAAAATAGTATTATCTAAAAAAAAAAGTCAATTTTGCCCTATAAGGTGTCTAAAGGGTTGTTGAAAACGGGCTGTTCGACGAACGTTTTCCTTAACTTATTAATAGATAATAAAAATAGAAACTGTATGCTTGTTAAAAAAAAAAAAATAACGTATGCGCGCGGAACACGCCCTTGCTGTGGAACTGAAAATGAAAATAGGGAAAAGTCGTGAGCCGCGTGGGTAGATGCAGAGTGATGCTGACGCATACACAACTGACACACGACTTGGTCAAATACAGTGCAAACTATGGAACTTTCCGAAGCAATTGGTTCATTTCATTACGCCATTGTCGCTTTCCCTGACTTTAATTTATTTTTTATTTTCTGTACTTCGTAATATTTAAAAATATAACCTATAATAAAGAGATAAAGATATTACTGTATGAAGTGTTAAAATAATATCTGAAAAAGATAAAAGATAAAACAATAGAATGTCAAGATAAATAATTATTTAGTTCAACAACTGAGAAAATAAAAAAGAGAGAAAAAAGTAACTATTAAAACGCGTGAATAGGAAAGATTCAAGATTCCTTACAGGTTCAAGATCGTCGTTGACCTTAATTCGTGTTCTGAACGAAGAAGATAAAACCTACACAACACACAATTTGAACTCATAATTGTCATCTGCGAAATTAGCAGAAACCCTCATCGCCATCAGCATGGAACCCAGAACGCTGGAAATCAACCTCGCATCAGCGAAGGATCTCAAAGACGTGAAATTCTTCTCCAAAATGGACGTGTACGCCGTCGTTTCGATCAACGGCGATCGGAAGATCAAGACTCCCGTCCACAGAAACGGCGGAACCGACCCCACGTGGAACTTTCATATGAAGTTCACATTCGAAGAATCGCTCGCGCGCCAGAACCGCTTGGCCCTGGAAATCAAGCTCCTCTGCCAGCGAACCCTCTCCGCGGACAAAGAAATCGGTGAGGTCCACGTTCCCATCAGGGAGCTCCTCAACCAACCCGGTGACGGAAAATCCTTCCAGCATGTCAGTTACCAGGTCAGAAAACCCTCCGGAAAGCCCAAAGGAGCGCTCAGCTTTTCTTACAAATTTGGCGAAAAATTCACAGAGCCGGCGAAAGCGTCAGCGCCGGAGCTCTCGGTTGCCCCCAAGGTGGACCCGGTCACGGCTTATCCTGCTCCTGCTGTGGGGTCCAGTTCTGCTTCGTATCCCGGCATTTATCCTCCGCCGCCGACGCAGCCACAATATGCGGCGGGATATGGGTATCCTCCGCCGCCACAAGCGGGATATGGGTACGCGCCACAAGCAGGATATGGGTACGCGCCACAAGCGGGATATGGTTATGATTCACATGGGTACGCGCCACAACCGGGATACGGGTACTCGCCACAACCCGGGTACGGTTACCCTTCTGTTCCAGCACAAAAAGCTGGGAAGAACAAATTTGGAATGGGATTGGGAGCGGGTTTGCTTGGAGGCGCATTGGGTGGACTTCTAATCGGAGACATGATATCTGATGCGGGTTTTGGAGATGGTTGTGGATTTGATTTTTAAACTTCTTTTTGCTATAGTTTTGTTGGTTTTAGCCGATAGTTTTTTTTTTTTTCTACGTGTACTTTTGAATATGTTTTTGCAGTATATATACTGTTTTGTTAGTTCGAGTTTGGTGTGCAGGTCTGGTGTGGAAGCTATTCTGTATGTAATTGTTGTTTGGTCACACAACATACGCTTCACGTATATATATATATATATATATATATATATATATATATATATATATATATATATATATATATATATATATATATATATATATATATTGTTCTGTGAAACTGCAGCAGATTATTTCTGCAACATGTATGTCGATCTTGTTATTAAACAATGAATTATATTAATAAAAACTAAGTTGAAGAAAAAACATTATCCTGATAGACTATTATAGTAGAGAAACAATCCTAGTTACTGATATATAATATTAATATTACAATATATTCTTTAATTTATAATAAATACAGTTTTTTATTTATATATTCATCCTTAAATATACAGAACATCACAGCCAAATTGACATGGACTGGAAAACAGTAGCAAAATAGTATTATCCATGCTTGTAAATATTGAAAAACACAAGCTTAAAACATAGTAACCCTCCACTGATATAATAATATGCTCCTCTCTCATTCGGTAGATTGAATATGTCTAACTCACTTGGGAAAATAGGTTTACTTAGAAAAGATTTAAGAAATAAATTAGATTAAATTAAATAATATCTAACTTAAATTGAATTAAGTTTATTTATAATTAACCTATTTTATATAATAATATTAATATTATTATTATTATTTTAAATAAAAATTAATAATATTATTATTTTATTAAAAATATATATTATAAATTAATTTGATATAATAAAAAAACTTCTAACACCGTTTATGACGTTTATGAATTATTATTTTATATTAATAAATCACTAAAAAAATATAATAATAAAAAATAATTTTGTAATTTTTATTTTAGACTTAAATACATATTTTTTTATAATTTATATATTAAATTATTATATTTAAAATAAAAACTAATTTTTATTAATATATTTAAATTTTTAAAATATATTTTAAATTTTTATTTTAACTATTTTTAATTAAATTTGTATATAAACAAATTAATAATTTTTAAAATTTTCAATCAAATTAAAATTAATCCATTTATTCGAATTCAGTAAACAAAAATTATAATCAATTTAAAAATATACGCTACGTTGATTTGAACCACCCATTTTTAACTTATAATATAAGAATACAAGACATCCTATGCATAACCATGTAGATCATAGAATACATCCAAGTAATAGACAAATACATGCGTCAATATTTTATACTTAATATTATTAATTTCTAAAAAAATTAGTACGGTTAAATAAGAAAAAAATATTTCAATTGATTTACTAATTAAGGAAATATTATTATTAATTTGAACTATGAGAAAATTAATATCGTCATTCGTATCATGCACGAAAATCATCTTAACCTTTTGGGTATAGTAAAAGTTTTGAATAATTAAAAATTATATATATATATATATATATATATATATATATATATATATATATATATATATATATATATATATGTCAATATTAGATATAGAATATTAACATTTTAAATTTATAAAAGTAATAAAAATGCCACCACATGGGTTTAATGAACATAAAACAAATGGGCCAAAGACATCAACCCAGACTCAAAGAAACACGTTACTCTTGGGCCTTAGTGTCTTTTTTAGGCATTACAATCCTTTTCATCTTCCCAACTCCTATCTTATCGGTTGCGAGAGCAACACAACACAATAAACCCTAATCCCCCTGTAAAACCCTAGAGGAGGGAGCGAGAGAGAAAGAGGAAGGATGAGACCTTTGGACGAGAAAGAGACGAGCGCAGTGTTTGAGAAGCTCTTCAAATTCGTCGGAAACAATCTCAAGAACATCGTCGAGAACCCATCTCACGAGGGCCCCGATGCCAACCCTGGCCGCTACTGCTTCCGCCTCCACAAGAACAAGATCTTCTACGCCAGTGAATCCCTCGTCAAGCGCGCTACCAACGTTGCGCGTCCCAACCTTGTCTCACTCGGAACCTGCATCGGCAAGTACACCCACGGCGGCAGCTTTCACCTCACCGTCCAGGCCCTCAACTTGCTCGCTGCCAACGCCAAGCACAAGGTATGGCTCAAGCCACAGTCTGAGATGTCTTTCTTGTACGGAAACCACGTTTTGAAGAGCGCGTTGGGAAGAATCACCGACAACATCGCCGCCGGCGACGGGGTTGTCGTATTTTCGATGGCGGATGTGCCGTTGGGTTTCGGTGTCGCCGCGAAGTCCACGCAGGACTGCAGGAAGTTGGATCCCAATGGCATTGTTGTTCTGCACCAGGCCGATGTGGGAGAGTACTTGAGGATGGAGGATGAGCTTTGATGCATTTTCCAAACTTTTTTTTGTTGTATTTTGAATTTCATGAAATTATAACATCTTCTATATTATATGTATTTAATCTCTTTATCTTTGACTTTGCTTATCATATTCCTCTTTGATTGAGGATTAATTTTTCATAGGAAAGTAATTAGTGAGGGACTAGTTTTGTTTTTACTTTGTTATTTTGTAGTTTCATTTAAAGAGAAAAAGATATATGAATTGAAATGTGGTGAGGAATGAGTTATTTGTTTCACGCTAAACAGCTTGTAGACCTTACTTGGTGTTTTTGAAGTTGAGCGATTTGATGCCGGATATGAGAACAACTTAATTTACTTGCATATAGTTTTCCTAGTGTTTTAATTCCAGATTCATCAGGGTCTCACGAGAGATAAATTGTATTCAATCTTCTTTTTTAGCCCATCCGTGTATCACTGTACCCCTTGTAATCGTACTATTCCTCACATTTCATGTTATCGTTGACTTTAATGTAGTGAGAATGGGGGCTAAGGTTTCTTATTTCATGCTAGTGGCCAGAACCCAATGAACTCGACTTTTCTGGTTTGGGACATGTTTAGTTTTCCGAACATTCTTGTTTTAAAACCTATATTCGAGTTTTGTACAAACTGTGTTCTCATTCTTGCTAAAAATCAATAGAGAAGGAAGTCACATTGGAATGATGAATATGGAGCTTTGTCAAATAAACTATTTTGGCTTTTATTACAAATTCTCAGTTCTGTACAGTTTCTCCCATGAAGGAAGGATTTGTTCACAACCAGGCTCTGATTTCAGAAAAGTACAGTATGAGATGTATATACATTATCCCTTTATTTTGTTTTTATTTTTTGTTATTCATTTAATTGTATATAAGTAATTTCTTTTATCCTCTCTGGCAGCTGTTGTTTTGATTTGGTTTGGTTTTGATGAGGAAAAATTGTTGTTTGGCTGCAGTTGTTACACAAGGTAGAAAAGATATGGTGAAAATCTTCAGAAGTTGGGATATGTGACAGTGTAAGACAAGACCTGTACTGTACATCAACCAAACAGGTCTTTGTAATCTAGAACATGTAATTCTCTATAGAATTATAGAGAGACACATAATATCATTTCTGATGTGCTATAGCTACAGTACACCTGTGATAGTTTATCTAATTTGTCTACTTATATTATGCTCCATTACTTTTCTGAATGTGCTATACCTTTGTGATCCAACACGAATCCTGAAAGTATCTCAGTACTCTCGCGTACCACATTTTGTGATCTAATAATTACATGGTTTGAATATTTAATGCTCTTCATCAATATTTGATGTTCAGCTGTTGATGATTAGTTAAATATTTACATTACAGACCTGATATGATATTAATTATTCTTCGCTCCAATGCCGCTTCAATGTAGAATCTTGATAAAAAGTTGATTTGCTATTATAGGCGAATGGAGTGTTAGTAAGCAATTTATAGATTTTTTTTTTAACTAATTGTGTTGTAATGTCGATAAATTTGTTCTGAGGTAATGTTATGGAAGAAAGTCTAAGAGTGGTTTCTTGACTCAAATAGAGTTTTCAGGAAGTATTCGATGATATTGAACTGAGGGTTTAGGACCTATTTATAGACGATAGTTGCGTGCTATTTATAGACACTAGTGATCGTGGTTCTCGTGGTTGATGTTTGCCCATGTGGCTATGACTCTCCGATGATTTATGAGTTGGCTGAGTATTTGAGGAAGGTATGTTGTGATCCTCGGGCTTGAATTCTTGGTGTTTAAGCCTCGTATTTATTAGTCTGAACAACATATCTCAACGAAGTTGGTCCTCTCTCGAATCTTCTAGAGGTTGCTTTGATGCCGAGGTATCAGCGTGTCTCGGTGCCTAAAGATGACAATTATACTCAAATTTGATGAGAAAAAAATTGAATTGAATGGGGATGGGTGAGTTTGGATTTTTTCTATTTTAAAAAGATAATGAAGAAGACGATGAATGTAATCTTTATTCTGATTCTATCATAGTTTCGAATTTTTATTTAAATTTAAATTTTAAAATATTAATATTTTAAAAGTTTTTTTTTCATAAGTTAATTTGTTTATATTTTACTATTTTTATCTTTTTTTATTCAATTTTTATTTTTTTGTTTTTTTAATCTTTATTAATTATTTTATTAAATTATTCTCTTTTTTTTATTTTATATTTTTTTAATTTTTTCAATCAATTTTTTTTAATATTTTCAATTAATTTGATGAATATAAAATTTAATTTTTCTTATTCTTTATCTTTTCCTAAATATTTGATATAAATATTAGTAATAATTAATATTATTTTATTTATAATTTATTATTATTAGATTTTATTATATCATATTTTTTTATCTTATTATTCTTATTTATTATATATAAATTTTATCTTAATAAAATAATTAAATTTTAAAATATTAAAAAATTAATAATTTAAACTTTTATTACTTTAAACTAATTAAATAAGAAATAACATATAAAATATAATTTTAAAATTATATATTTCATATTTAAAAAGACAATTAAAAAAAATTAATTTATATATAATAAAATGTGTGAATACAATATTATAATAATAATATTATTATAAGTATTTAAATATTTGAATATATTATTATTATTATAATATTATTATTACTATAAGTATTTTACATTTATATAAAGAAAAAATAATTAAATATTTTAATATAAATATAATAAAATAAAATATAAATTTAATTAATAATAATTATAAATTATAAATTATGTAAAAAATACATAAAAATAAAAAATTTATTTATTATAAATATAATTATTTTTTCAAAATAATATAAATAGGATACGGAGAGAGGGTGAAAAATCCCGAAACTTACTAGAAATGAAAACTTAATTTCTAACTTCTGCAGATATAAATCTGCCCCATGCCGACTATTGTCATGCCTTAGTGACACACTTATATTTTATATATATATATATATATATATATATATATATATATATATAATGATTAAATTATATTTTAATAATAATAAATAAAATTTATTTAAAATAAAAAAAGGAAAAATGAATGTAAGAGATAAATAATATTTTTAAAGATTTTATTAAAATTTTATGACTAAATTCATTCATAATTACAAAAAAAATATTGTAAACATTTATTAAAAATTAAAAATGAATTTCAAATGGCTCAGTTTATTTAATTATTAATACATTACTTTACAAACAAGTTATCTCTTAATAAATGTACAAAATAATTAAAATAATTTTTTTTATTAAGATCCAAAATAGAAAAAATATGATTAACTATCATATTCAAAATTTACAAAATAAAAAAGAAAAGTTTATTAAGAGGGGTCGTGTTTATATTTCGTGACTTTTATGTCTTTCACTGTTTGTATTTGTTATTATATCTTTATGTATTTTATAATTTTATTCTGTAATCCTTATTTGTATGCAGGATTCTCTCCCACATGAACATTCCTACATTTTTTAAAGAAAAAAAATAAAAATTCTCTTATATATATTAAGATTTTAAAACTTATTAACCATATGAGATCAAGAAGGTATTTAATACTTTAAAAAATAAAGTAATTACCTCAGTCAGTCTAATTATAAAATAATTTAGAAATCGATCTCTTATTTTTAAATAATTGAAATTGATATAATCGAAAAATATCATATTAAACAGATTTTGATAGAAAAAAATAAAGATAATTTTTTTTAAAATATATTTTTTTATAAAAATGTAATATATTTATATTTTTTTATTTTATATTAGACACATTAACTTCAAATAATACTTATTTTAAATATTTTAATATATTTTATATTTATAATTATTATTATAATTTTTTTTATTTTGATTACGTAGCAAATAAGTCAAAGAGATTAAAAAGATAAATCATTTACAAACACTACTACTGACAAAGAATTATCGAAAAACTAAGGATTAATAATTCTCTAAAAGATTTAACATGAAAAAAAAATCGATCTTGTATATACGCAAGTAAAATAATAAAACATAAAAAAGAATGGAAGTGGTGGTGATAGTAATTTTTTTTAAAACAGTTATTATTAATTAATTAATTAATTATATATTTATTAATATTATAAAAATATTATTTTATTAAATTCAGTTCATCCCATTATATGTAATTGAATCTTTAAACTCTTATGTATTTGTTTAACGTAGAATTTTAAAAATATAAGTAACTAGATAAATTCTGTATATTTTATGTGGAGCATTACTTTGTGTTTAGTTTTCATATCATCAAGAAAAACTAAAAAGTGATGTGTCAATTTAAAAATAATCGTCTTTTTATTTTTCGATTTTATTCTAAAATATAATTTTATTAATTTTTTAAGCTATTTTTCGAATCATATGCTCTACATATGATTAAAAGTAATCAATGCAAGATTATTTATATTAAAAAAAAACACAAAACTAATTGCAAAATAAGGAATTTTTAACTAAATTTAATTTATTTAATATTTTTTAACATGTCTATCATAATTTTAAAATATCAATGTTTTGAAATAGAAACAAGATTTTTATTATTATTATTATTATTTTATTTTATTGATGAATACCATTCAAACTCATATCTAACCTCCTAAATTTACTACCTATCCTTCCCTCTCTTCATTAACTCAAATTACTGGGTGAAGGTAACTATAGCCTATTGGTAATTAATTTTACTGACTTAAAATTATAATAATACTTTAATCCCAATAACTCTTTAAATAATATAAACCTAAAAGGCCAAATCTTCATCAGCACATCGTTTTGATTCTTAAATCAGATTTTTTGTTTTTTGTCCTTTTTTTAAAAAAATTTGGTAAAAGGGAATATGAGAAGAAAATTCTCTTAAAATGGCACTGTGGGAGAATTGATCCAACATTCCTTATGTTTAACACTTTATTCTGAAAATCAATGTAAGTTCCCCAATTCCATCATTTATAATCAAAGTTAGGCATAAACCTAACATCTCATAAGCAAACAAATAATTCCCCTTTTGCTTTAATCTTATTCTTTTCTATCCCCAAATTCCTCACCCTTCTTTTCTTTTCTCATTCTTGCAAAATTCTCTTGGGTATCTGATTTTTTTATGCATTCTTTTATATTATAACTTCATAAGACCAATCATATTTTCTTTGTTTTTTTAAAAACTTGATCCTTCAAGAAATGGAGAATAAGTTCATATACCTAGACGGGACCATCATCCTTTAATATTTAAGATGCTCAGATTTTGATTACGGTAGAGGATCAATTCAAAAATAAAAATATGTTTTCGCAAAATTCCCCTTTTAAGGTTAAGTACAAGACATGATATAAAGAAAACGGTGTTTACACACTCAGGTTATATATGCTCGTTCAAGTATGTTCAACAAATATAAATAAATAATATTTGAAGGAACAAATACGTAGTTTTCACTTCCTGGCATATGCTATATGAGATAACAATAATCTTCTATTTAGTTTTATACTTATTCCAATAATTACTTTTTTTTCCATAATTCTATCTATTACCACATCATATAAATTAAACTCTTATTATTTGTTTTAAATATTTATATATGAAAACGTGTACACTGACTTATACTTTAGTTGGAGTATCCTAATAAATTATATTCTATGTATATTTTAGAATAATTCCTAACCATATATAATTATGTTTTTATTTTCACTGCACAACCATCAAACATTTTGAACCAACAATCATCGTTAATATAGTTTTACATGCAGATGGTTGCACGGATGTTGCATTACTGATATCAGACATCAAAAGTAATGGTCTTCATTTCTTTGCTACAATATCTAATTACTTTCAAATCTGTTTTATTAAGATTGTTTTTTTCTCTTCAAATTTTTATTTCACTGTTTTAAAAAAATTGTCTGATGTTTTAACTTTCAATTTATTCTCAAATTAATTGAAGGAGTTAAGTTCTTTTAATGAAATTACTGTAAAAGATGTACATTTACTGTTATTTTTTATTTATGTAAAAAGAAAAAATAGACTTTTTTTTTTTTTTTTAACTTTTACACTTCAAACAAGATTAGTATTAGCCATACTTATAATAACTGCATGGAAAAAATATATAATATAAGAATGACTAGGCACAAAAGTCACAAATTAATTTACACTTTGAAAAACGATAGTAATTAATTAAGAAATATCCTTAATGTGTGAAAAGGAACAAGTGAGAGATTTTCAACATATATTAATGTGTGATTATATATATATTAAATAAAATTAGGTTTTTGAATTGATGATGGTTGACAGGGACGAGTGTGGAAAGCAATCTATCAGAATCAAAACCCTAGCCAACAAATACTTTCTGTGACTGGATGGATCATAGTTTTTCTTTTAAAAGAAGAGGCTAATATGGAAAGACATATACATCTCCGAAGATGTTGATGATACGAGGAGGAGTATCTTTGTTCAGACTAGTATTTTGTCTTTGGATTTTCTATTAGGACAACAAACCCTTGCAGCAGCATCATTTATATACACATATACGTGCTGGAGGAAGCATTCCGTTTATCGTGGCGCAAGAAACCCTTTATGATTCTTTGTGACACGAGATTAAAGAAGCACAATAACATGTTTTATAATTTAGTTGTTTTGTCACTGAGGACATCTTTTGCGAATAACTTTATCAGAAACAAAATAAAAGGGGCAAAATCCAAAAAAGCAATATCATGAAGCTGACTTGTCAAGAAACAACTTGAAAATGTTTTGGATATATATATATATATATATATATATATATATATTGGGAATCAAAATTATATACGTGAGGCTGGAACTTGTGGTTAGAAATCGTTTTGATGCATGCCACCTCAACGTTTACATCATTAGCCTTGAAGAAGTTTCGTTGTTCTTTACGTGAGTATTTGATACAAGTACTTGCGTTGATTACCAACATGAAGTTCTAGAGAAGAATCTTATACCAGACAAGTTCCAGAATAATTTGAGTGAAAATTTGAACTTACCGAGCTTTGAGGGAAGAAACTACTATCACACCTTAATTACTATATAGTGTCTCCGAGTTGTTTGTAATGAAAATTTTATACATAATTGATCTTTGGAAGAGTGGATATAAATTAGGAAATGAATGAATTGATGGGAGATATATACCAACTATAAGAGTGTCAAAGGTGGTCCAATGGGATTCAAAAGGAATTCGAGAGAAAATAATAGAGAAAGAAAAACCCTAGCAAAATCTTTATCATGAGAAGGAAATGTAGAACTTTGGTCTGTCTAGTGTGTGTGTGTGTGTCTGCATCGTAGGACCGTGTGGCTCAAGGAGGGGTAGCGAATAGAATCAAAGTCAAGACCATGGTGTTATTAGGTCTAAAGGACTACAACTTTGATGCCTCAACTTGATTTTGGTTGGGTGAGATTGGATTCTAGCACTATAGCCACTGCCATTGGCTCATTAGTTTGGTCATGCTATCAGTAAAAGCTGTAGTTAATGTGCTGTAAATCATTATTTTATTAGATATTTGATTTGAAATCCATGAAGTTTCTATGAGAACAAGTTAGCCTTTTGGATAGACTTTTTCCTATCAGTTTAAATTTAGACAGTGTTTATTACGTTCACGGTTCACTCTTGTATGCATATTTCTCCTTTTCGAGAAATGAGATTGACACAAACCTGATAAGTAATCAGTCTAAATTTGGTAGCTAGGAGGAGATTAGAGCTTTAGTTGGCATAAATATCCAGAATCTCCAATGTTTTGCCTGCAGATATATTTTACATGTGCACTCGTATCTCTGAGTTCATTTACACAGACCTTGCAGTTTTTTACAAAAGTCAAACATAGGAACTTGGGTTTGAAGGTAAACAAAAGTTTGTTATTCTCCTTTATCATCGGAAGCCCCTAACGCAAATTATTGTAATATAAATTGAAGGGTGGCTATGTGCATCGTCAAAACTAGTTAGGCAAGCAAAACTTTTTACCGAAAGTAGATATAAATTAGCATAATGTAGTTAGGCAACAAAAACAAAAAAGAAATGCTCGAAAAGCCTCCCCCTACACTAGTACGTCCAAGTGAAATTTCAACAATGTTATTTCCCCACCAACGACCTGAGTTAATTGAAATCAATTCCTTTCATATTTTGGTCCCCACACACTATGTGCACTTCTTCATATCATTCCCCCACAAATCATATGAACACTTTTGGAAAAAGTGTGCACTATTCATCTAAGCCTATTTGGGCATCCTCATTCTCATATAGTTTTCTTCACCACTTTATGATACAAGTTGATTGAAATAGCTCCACTACTTGCTGACCAATTAAGGACCTTCATTTGCTATATATAGCACTTTTGCTGTTAAGTGATTGTTGTATTGTATAATCTGTATTATTACATGCAGTATTTACTTCTTCTTTTTCTTACTGAGGATAAGTTATTTTAAAGTTTTAGTTTGTTCTAGAAGAGCTCATTCTCTCACCCAAACAAAACAGAGATTCTCCTACGCAAATGGAAATGTGAATCAGGATTCCCCCAATCCTATTATCATAATTGATGAAATGAATAACCCAGGCCCCCACCCTTTCCCCAAACACCCTGTCCCCAAAATTCACCTTTAGCTTAGGACTCTTCTCCTTCACTGGGACCCACCTTAGCTGTATTCACGTCCAAACACCCCCTCTATATGTACTACATATATATCTCTCTCTCTTCCATTCTCCCCTCAAATATACGTACCCTTCATGTGGTTGGCTGGTGTGTATATATGACAAATAAAATAATTCCATCGTGAAACTTTCTCATCCTCACACCCTGAATCATTTCACCTATATATACACACACATTACACACCATATTCTCCCCCAACAAAGCTCCAAAAATAAAACACACACACTTGAAGATATCATCATCATCATCTTTAAGAATGTCTGGGGTTTGGGTTTTCAAGAACGGGGTGGTGAGGCTGGTGGAGAACCCTGGGGGTGAGGCAGTGGAGGGAAGCCGTGGTGGAAGAAGGAAGGTGCTTGTTCATAGAGCAAGCAATGAGGTTATAACCTCCTATGCGGCTTTAGAGAGAAAATTGTATTCACTTGGGTGGGAGCGTTACTATGATGACCCTGATCTTCTTCAGTTCCACAAACGCTCCACCGTACACCTTATTTCCCTCCCTAGAGATTTCAACAAGTTCAAGCCCATGCACATGTATGACATAGTGGTCAAGAACAAGAACGCTTTTGACGTTAGGGACATGTAGGGCAGGGAGGGACAAGACAGCATAAACACACAACACACACACACACATATAGTGACCAGACAAATCACAACCCTGCAAGGCCTTCGGGCAGGGTACCCTCCTACTGTTGAAGTGTCAGTGTTTGTGTACTTACTTCTCATTCAACTCATGCGGGGTAGTTTCTCTAAATCGCCCCTTTATTTATTTGGTGTTTTGGGTGTTTGATTTTGGACTTGTGGCCATGGGGGGTGGATGTCTATGTCCAATTGATTGTGACATTAACTTTGGTGTTTCGAGTGTGTGTAGGTGAGTTTATTATACATGTTCTGATAATTAATTGATGATGTCTATGTATAGGCAGGTAGGGTCTGATTCGTGAGTTGTGAGGACTCGTTGCCATTAACTACGTCTGTGTGCTCTGTAAATTTTAGTCATATCCTGCAATGAAATTTGAGTTTTCTATATTCCACTCCTAAATATTCACATTGCCTGCATTTCTAATTTCCATCATAACTGGATAATATACCACATATGTTTCCCTTCTGAGAACTTCATTTTATTCACTTGGATATCTCCTGTCATGTTATTCTGACAGATATACATATATATAGGTGTTCAAATTTATTACGTATATATATATATATATATAACACATTAAGCTAGTTCATGCATGAAGATCAGAAACGATGATGAGTAAAATTGACGGATATAAGGGAAATTTGTATGCTCCTGATAGAGTGACATGTATATTAAGTGTGAGGAAGCAATTAAAAGTGTGTACACATATATATATTTTGGAAAAATATTTTAAATCGTGAAATATACTTTTAGATAATCTAAATGAATTAATATTAAAAAAAGTTAAGAATGATATATAATTATGGTAAGTGTTAACCACCTAAAAATTTGTTTTCATTCGACATAAAAGAAAATTTTGTTGAGTTACACGAAGAAATTAGATATTTAGAGGAACATATATATTAAAAGAAAAAAAAATTCTAAATTGTTCCCATGCGATGGCTAGGAAGGAGGAGGAATTATGGCTCGTGAATAGACGACAAGATATAGAGATGGGCGTGAAAATGAGATCACGTGTGTGAATAGATGCCATTGTTGACAATTTGACTTTTTGTTTTTTTTTTCTTAAAGTGGAACACTAAGAAAATGTTTATTTGGTATTTATTATCAATATTAATATAAGAAGATATATATAGATAGATAGATAGATAGATAGAACAAATGCTTATGAAGATATTGATGATGTAACGCTATTTATATAAATATTTTAAAAAATATGGTTTGAATTTGAAAATTTGATAAAAAGAATGCTGTTGGTATTACTGTATATATTCGAATATAAAATTTATAAAATAAAATTAAATATTTACTTTAATTACTTTAAAATTAAAGTGAATTAAGTTTGTGACATTTTAAAACCTAAAAATAGTAGAGAAAATTACCATTGTATCACTTTGTATGAATATTTTATGCTTGAAAAAGTTTTGCTCTTTGCGATTCTTTTTTGTGGTTTCTTCGTCTTTATAATTGCTGTAAGTGGCGTCCAACCTAACTAGCACGCGACTAATTGCATTGTACTCGTTCATCACAAAACTATTCTTTCAGTTCTCATTACTTTTTTTTTCTTTCTTATTTTATATTACTTTTGCAACATGGTTCATTACAAATAGTTTTGGATAGCATATCACAAATTTGTACAAATATCATTTCGAATATCTTTCCACAAAATAACTCAGCTTTTCTTTTTCCCAAAAATAGCTTAAAGTTTTCAAATTGGTGAGGAAAAATTTGGTTGCTAAAATATTAATTTCAAATCTGAAAAAAAAAAAAAGAAACAAACTTACCTCAATTTTTCAGAAACATGTTTAAAAACAATAACAACAACAACAACAACAACAATAATAATAATAATAATAATAATAATAATAATAATAATAATAATAAGAAGAAGAAGAAGAAGTTAAAAGTTAGATTCTCCAGGTTGGTGTGTATCTGATTTTTATTTTTTTTGAGATGTCAATTTCATATACATGCATGAAGCTCCCATAAGATTTGATTAGATAAATGAATATCTCTGCGTGTTTTTTACTTTTAAAGTACTCGCAAAAAAAAAAAAAAATGGGACATATTTTTTGGTTGTCTTCTCTTCTATACTCTCCATAGATCCACTCGTTTCTTTCAATGTCTCTTTGCGCATCAAATTCAATTTCACTTTTCTCTTATTCTTCCTTTAGGTGCATTTTTTGTTTCACCCCAAATTATATTTAAAATAAAACTACTCTCAACATTTATTTTTCTTGTATAAATGTGGATTCTAAAGTCCAAACATCATAATTAACCTAATCCACACTCACTTTTGTTTACTTCACTAATTCTCAAGAAATAAAAAAATGTAATGTTATAAAGTTTTTGGATCGAAATTTGTTAATAGAGGATAAGATTATACATGGATAAAATAAGATCCCAGATAAACTTGTCCCAAAGTAAATGTTGTAATTGCTAGTATTAAAATGTGATTAGGATGACATTTTAAGAATCTTGTCACCAAATACTCTCACGAGAAGGAAAAACATTTTTTATTCGTATAAAACCAATTTATTTGTCTCGTTTTATTTTTTAAAAACAATATCTAATTTTTCCAAAAACTACATTATATAAATATTTTATGATTTGATTTTTATTTATGAAAAGTTTGATCCGTTTACATTTTTCAATAAATATTTGTAAAAGAGTTTACCTCAACAGAATATATAGTTAGAGTTCGTTTGTTCCAACATATTTTAACCTTATAAGATATTGTTCAAGTCAGAATTAAAATAAAGAACTTAATTAAAAAATAATATATATATATATATATATATATAATTTTAAACATTAAAATAATATGATATATCTATAATTGTTTGTAAAGGTAAATTTTAAATAAATTGTTCTACTAATTTACCCTTTGTCTTAAATCTTAATGTAAAGAATTACATAGTCAATATTTTAAATGATTATTAAATAGATCAAAATGGTAAAAACAACATATGCTTCCAATAGTTAATAACAGTGGCAATTCAAAATGCGAAAACCTATCAAATTATTATATTACTAATTTTTTTTTTTTGGTGAACAACTATCAAGAATACATAATAGTTTTCTAATCCACTTGGCACATGATTGTAGTCCTTTCTTATAAATATCTGTGCAGACAGTATTTAAATTTATGATTTAGGATTTGTTCAAACAAATGTGATTACAAAAATTTCTAAGTTAGTTTTTCCATGACTTTGTATAAGTTTTTAGATATAATTTTGTTTAATTTGTACATAAATTAATTTTAACTTATAAAAAAAAATCATTTAACTCTTATTTTCTCTAGTGGAAAGAATTCATCCAAATAAACTCTTAATGAAATAAATCATCATGTTAACAACAAATTTGCCAGAATTTCCATACATAAACATTTTTCTATATATAAAGTGAAGAAGAAAAGAGAAGCAAATTTCAAGTGTATAGTTTGACAAGACCAAACAGTCCAGCGTATGATACATTACAGATACACCAGTCTCCTCTCCAAGAATTTCCACGAATATCGTATATCATTATCAACCAACAAAGAAGGTAGGAAACTTTTTTTCTCCAATTGCCAAACTCCCCCTTCTACTTAAATTTTGCTAAACCTTTAAAGAAATTGCCCTTTAAATACCTATCCGTAAACTTCCATTTCTTGCTAATTTGCACAGTTGAATCCATGACAGACAGAAAGCCAGATAACCAAGACCAAAAGTAACAGAATTCCAAGTACAATCAATTTAATTTTCATATTCTGATACCACATCTTTCGACGGACTTGTGTTCCCTTCTTTCTGAATTCCTGGGCCTGAAAATTTGAGACCCATCAGTCCTACTTTCATATTCCTGGAATGCAAAATGATTCCGTGAAACAAACGTGCCTAAAAAATGTAAAACCTCATTCAACTTACTTGTGAGTGCAATGTCTCGGACTTGTCCGCAAGAATAGTTAGATTTTCTCCTCTATCAATGGCCTGAAAGTACGTATAGCGAAAGCAAAGTTGGCAACGAGTCAAACTGTCTTGTGTAACACTTTGCAATCAAGGCCTCCAGCAAAGGCAATCAGTATAGTGATGTTAATACAAACAGGACAACATGTAGGAAAATGTCTAAGTGATACAGAACTTCACAGGTTATGATTTAGTCACTGAAAATCTTAAAGGTAAATGCAAATTTAAGTATTTTCAAACTGTGATAGGAAGGAAAAGGGACAAGTACAGAAGTATATTGTTTCTCCAAGTTCTTTATTGTGCTCTAAAATTTCAATCCTAGAAATTTTCAATAAGAAGTATAAAGAGGTAGAGAACCTTATTGATTTTTTTCCAAACGGCTCCCCAAAAGTTGCAATAAAGCAAGCAAATGACTAATATAGCAATCTTCAAAACCATATTTCCCCCCTCTCGATCACTTAATAATGGAAATATACATAACAATGGACTAAAGGTTAGTAGTAGACAAGGATGCATAAGACAACTGCATAGAGAAATGACTGAAAATATCCTTAAAAAAATCCCATGTCCACTCTAAAACTTAACATACCTTATCAATGTTCTCTAACATGATACTTTTAACTTCTGAAACTTGAGCTTTCACTTTTATTAGCTTTTCAATCTCTTCGGCATGGTCTATGATGTACTTCATGTGCTCTTTCATAACTGGTCTGCAAATGTGCATCTGTATTATTTACCTTTTTCATACAAGTTTTTCTATTCAAGCATTGATTTATGAGTACACATATCGTGAATCGCTTGGCAAGAAAAAAGCATACCCAAACTCCTTGTTGAGACTTTTGGCAATGGCGGTATCTGCCTTTCCACCTCCATATCTTTTCCTGAAGTCCGCTTTGACACGTTCTAGAAAAGCAATAGAGATTTGTTTGCTAACAGATTCCTTCGCAACAACACAATAAGCTGCAAATTACATTAGTCCCAAATGGGAAAACATTAATAGTGTATTCGGATTAGTTTCATGGTGACAAAAATCAATTAATTTTCATGTTGAAAGTAAAACAGCAATAATTGTTTCTAACTTTCCATGGTATCACCATGATTTTGTGGGAGAAAATTATAAACAGAAAATTGCACATGGAAAAAGAAGACCGCACACAAATTTATGCAACTCGGCCAATGTGACCTGTATTCAAATTCAATTGAGAGTTTCTCAATTCTTTCATAGAGTCTCAAAATCAGTGATATAGTGAACATCTTAATCTTTTATCCTAACTCACCTCTTAGAGTTTGGATTTGGCCTAACTTAACCTCTAAAGCTTACTCATGAGGTGAGAGATGCCTTTCATGTTCCACTTACATACACTATATTGGTTCTATATCTATTACTTTACTGGTTGTGAAATCTCCAACACAATCCGATAAACCAGGTCCGTTGACCTCATTTTTTTTCTTTTAAAAATTTTGAGTTTCAAGATATGGGGTAAGGCAACAATTGGATCCGGCCCGATAGCAAAAATCTTTGGAAGTAGAAGGTTTGATTCAGAAACCAAGAGAAGTGGAACATGTATATCAAGGGTTGCATGGTTGGTTAAACTAACAGGAGAGCAAGACACCAATATTTAGAAGTGACAACTGTTCCTTCATCCATCATAGCCCTGTTTCTATTGCAGACTAAGTCCAACATAAGAAATACTGATAACTTGACAGCCACAAGATAAGTCCTTGTCCCAGAATAAAGACTTGTTTCACCAATAAAGCGCCTTAATTGGACCAGGAGAACCCAAATTCCGTTTTTCACCATTCATTTATTTGAAATGTAAAAAATAACAAAACTCGGGAAGGAACCCCAAACAGTAAAGAAAACCCAGCATGGAAAACCCATAAAAAAAAATTAAAAATAAAAATATCTGCGCCAATTAGATGTGAGAAATTAGATCCAGCACTTAAAGTATGAATTGAAGTGGTACAAGGTCCATGTTGAGGGAAAGATGCAGCAAAGAGAAAAAAAAACAAGAGATCGGAGGAGAGAAGCAACACCGTAACCATCTTCGACTAGAAAATTGAAGGTGTGGTGGTCACAATTGTAGGTGAACTTGTTATTGGAAGAGGGTAGTTTGTGGAGACATTGAGCAGCAATTGCAGGGAAGTTCCCGGTGAACTCGGTGTACTCTGCTAACACCATGGTCCCCCGAGCCACGAAGCTGTATATAAACGATTCCTGACTCATTGCTCTCTCTGCAACTCAGAAGCAGAGAGAGAGAGAGAGAGAGGAAAAGAGAAAGAGAACTTAGTCTAGTTAGTTGTTGCTCTTTATTTGGAACTTGAAGACCGCGTTTGGTTTCTTCTTTTTCTTGGTTTGAAAGAAAGAAATAAATTGTGGTTGAATACAACGGCTGGCTGAAAAGCGTTTATCATCCCAAAATATAATATAATACTAATTATTCATCATCATCATTATTATTATTATTATATTTTTTTAGGTGAAATTATTTTTTGACTTTGACTGCATTTGAAAAGAGATTATAAATAATCGATTATTAAAGTGTTCAATAAAACATAAATAATAATGATGAAGTAAAATTAGGAGGGAACTGGGGGAGGGTTTGGTGATTGCATTATTACTTTCTTCCACGGTTTCCTCGATTTGATTGGAATTGTTCCTTACTTAAAACCACGCTCTCTCATCATAGTAATGGATTCTGATCGTGACATAAATTGTACTTTTTATTTATACATAAAAAAAATGTTTTACAAACTTAAATATAGTTAAAATTTTAATTAATTTAATATTATTAATTTTAAATTATGAAATCAAGAAAAGTTAATAAAATGTAAACCGAAGACAAGTAAAAAAGCTTGCAATAATAAAAATGTATAATTAATGCAATGCTAGTTTTTAGGGATCTGTAAGTTTCTTCTCCTATGATCGCAGCTAGAGAGAAAGCATTTATTAAATAAGTATACCCTTATTATGATGCTACAATAAAATTACATGTACTTTTTGTAACCCTGATTTCATTGAAATTGAAACCCAACAATTCGCACCCAAATGTTTTACTTCTCACTCCACTAAATTTTCTGCTGCCTTTATTCATCATCTAAATACTTAGTGGACCAACAGTGAGAAAAAAAATAAATAAATAATATATATATATATATATATATATATATATATATATATATATAGTCTGGTGTTATTTATTTATTACAGAATCCTTAATCATTTTTAATTAACACTATAATCCTATTAATCAGTTTTAGCCATTGTTTATAAAATGGAATTAGTTATTTAATCGATATTTAAAAACAATTAATGATTAAATATAAACTAATAGTAGGATATATAATATTGTTAAAAATTAAAATAAAACATAAATATATAAATTTTTAATATTTAAAAATACATATAAAAATTAAAATAAAAGTTGCGTATCAATCGAACAATTACAATCAAAACATTAATGTCCTCGTTTTTTGACATATTACAGTGTCGGTCATCAATGTCCTTTTCCCTCAGACACATTGTGCCCAAACATTACATATTAAATTTAAACTTATTTTGTTGTTTTTGTCCCTCAACAGTTTTTAAGATTTTAAATTTTATTATTTTAGTGATTCTGGTTAGATTCCTATTGTTTATGTGGAATTTCGATTCATTTCGACTCTTAAGATATTTTGATCCTAATCAAAATTCTACCACGTAAGTTCTTTTTACTTAGGCTAGCAAATTAATTTTCAATCGAGATGCGTATGAAGATCGAATTTTGCCCGATTTCAAAGATACTATTTTTGGTGTTTTATATTTAAAGTGCTCGAAGTAAAGAAAGCAAAAAATTCGTGGAATCGAAAAGCAGTGCTGAACATTAGATTGTAAGGAAACGTAACATGCGGAAATCTTAAATTTGCTTTAAGTATAAAAGACAGGGAATCGAAACAGCAGAAATGTAAATAACAGGAAGTATAAATGACAGTAAATCAAATGTGCAGAAAGTATAAATAACTTGGAAATCGAAATTGCATTAATGTTAAATGACAAGAAAACTTAAACGCGAAAACTTAACTTTCATTGAATCGAAATGACAAAAAATCGAAAGTACAGAAACATAAAATTGCTAAAGATAAATTGCATCAAAGTAAATTACCAAGGAAAATACAGAAAACGGTAAAGGTACTCAATGAGCATGGAAATCCAGATTGCCAGAAGTTTCATGATGTTCGTCGTTTCTCCGGTAGACTTCTCACTAATGATTCTGTTCTCTGCCAATTTTCTGCTCCCTTTTCCTTTCATCCTTTGCTTTATTTATAGTGTCTTTTCAAGTAGTATCTTAAGAGCAGTTAACGAAGACTACTACCACGTTCTCTGTGCACGTCTTTTGCAGTTTTGTTCCTAGCTCTGCGGTTTAGAAACTGTATCCACGTTCCCATGAATGAGGTAACTGCTCCCTTGACCTTCGACTTTTGCTACCGCTTACTATGTTCGATGTATACGTCGACCGTTCTTCTTAGCAAAAATTTCGATATTCACGTATATTAGCCTTTCCTTCGATTTTAGATTTCGCAACTTCGAGAATTTTGGATTTGCTTTTGATTCTCGATATCCTTAACGTTACCAGGTTTTGTTTTAGCAATTGCATCGACTTGTTAATCCCTTGTATAGTTCTCGATTTTTTGTTTCCCTTCACTTTCTCGATCCTTTTATAGATTTCTCACTAACAAAATGCCCCCTTGGAAGAATATAAATAGTTTCCGTTTATATTCTTTCAACACGATTCCCGCTTTCGCTCGTTGGAGGCCCACAATAATTTAGGGTTTAGGGTTCCTGGGGTTTTAGGGTTTATGGGTTTCTTTTTGCTTTATGTCGCCGTCTCGTCAGTCTGCTGCCTTGCAGTACAAGCCACATTAATTGCTTTTGTTTCCGTCGTTTCCAGCACCCTAGGTAGCTTTCCCCTTAAACTCTATTAGTTTTTTTTTTTTTTTACTCTGGTTTTTACGCGAATCTTTTACCTCTTTGCGACTTCGTCTTCTTCCTTGAGCTCTTGCCTTCGTCCTTGCTACCCCACCTTTTAACCTCTATCCTTCTGCTTTCCTTAGCTTATTGAAATGGCAACCTCGTCTAAGTCTTCTGAATTTTCGGCTCCACCTCTTCCTTCGCTGACGGCTAACCTTCTGGAGATCAATAACCAGAAGTTTGCTCCAGTCCCTCTTATGGAGGAAGCTTCTCAGAAAGTCGCAGAGACGCAGGTACTCATTCCTTACACTGCAGATGGTGTTAATTTTGGTTTTGGGGGTCCTATTCGTTCTAGTAGTGGGACTTTTTCTTCCTTCACCCTCTCGAATAGCCCAACACTTATTCACCACCCTGAAGTTCGGATTAATTTTTTTACTATGGTCTCGAGAGTATACCGAACGGGTCCTCCTTCCAAAAAACCTTCTTTTATTAGGTGGTTTGATAGAGTAGAAGCCAAGTTTGGGAACCACTGGAGAGATGTAGGGATTTTTGATTTTTTACACCTATCTCGATGCGAATTGTCGTTTTTGGATATGACAATGTTTTTGTCTGCGGTGCATTTGTGGAATAAGGAATTACATGCTTTGGAGTTACCCTGTGGTCCCCTTTCACCTAATCTCTTTGAGGTTGCTGCTATAACCGGACTAAAACCCACTGGGGAAAAGTATTATAAGGGTGCTTACCCTTCAGATAATTCTTTGAGGTCTAAAATCGATTGGGAATCGAAGGTCTATGGACATTTCCTTGAGAAGCATTTCGTCGATGATGAATCGATAACTGTGACTGACGAAGAACACATAGCCTTTTTGGTGTATTGGCTATGTACCCATGTTTTCTGCCCCCGATCCATCCAAATTTCCTCCCACCTCTACAACCTTGCCTACCTCCTCCATACTGGCCGGCCTAGGATATGTTTGGCTAAACTTTTGTTGGCCCACATGTATACTGCTTTCGACGAAGCTGTCGACATTTTGAGTACTCCTAAAGCATCGGAAAATTTCTCTGGCCCTATTTGGTTTGTACAGTTATGGCTGAACTCGATTTTTGAGAGCATCCTTTCCCCAACTTCCACTATCCCCCCAAGTGTAAATATCGAAGGTGCTCGATTGTCTTCTCGCCACCCTCACCACAAGCCTGACGAAGCGGCTTACTGTAGATATCTTAAGTTTTTATTAACTAGATTTAATTTCGATTCAACTTTGGCTCCCTTTACCGTGCATCTTGGATGAATCAGCGACCAACTTCGAGGGCCAGTTTGGTTTAAGTCAAAATTCCCTTCCTTAACTCCTAGGTTGCAATCGGAGTTGGTTGATGTATGGAGTAATTATTTGACCCATGATGTATTAGTATCGGGTTTTCAGTCCAAAGATTTTAAGCTCATCACCTATTACCCCCAACTTTTCTCGAGACAACTTGGTCTGAGCCAATCCACACCTTTTTTCCCCCTTGATACCTCCCCAAGGTCCAAGTTAAGTGAATCGACAATCGGACGGGAGCTGACCAAACTATTACCACAAACCCCACTACTTTTTTATCCCTATGCTTTCGAATCGAATTATTTATCCACTGTGAGTTTCTCTCAATGGTGGGCTGATTGGTTCTCGAGTAATCATTCTGCTTTTGACGAAGTCCGACAAAAATTGACTGCTCATCATTTTCTTGTGTTGCAGGACAAATCGAAAGCGAAGAAAGGTACACACTTCCACTGTCTTCAAATATCTCGATTCGAGAATTTTTATCAAATATGTTACAACCCATTGAAATTAGAATCAACCTTCTATGATGCTGTTATTTCCTTATCCCATAAAACAACCACCAATCGATCGAACCACAAAATAATCAATCCCTTAGGAAAAACACCTTTTGAAATGTATTGCCCTAGTCACCTTCCCACTTTTCCTACAACACCCTTTGGGATCGCCAAACCTTTAACTCATCCCAAATGGGTTCGAGAATTGAGATCCCTGAGGGAAACACTCCGCCCGAAACCCAAAACAAAAGATATCTCTGTATCAAAATTGTCTTATTTTCCTTACCTCCACCTCCCTCAATTTCTCCTGCCTCCCTGGCTTGTGCATATTGATCGAGTCACGATTTTGACTCCATCACCTTTTGGTGAGGTTTTACTGCTATTTCATGTTTTTTGATTCTGTATATTGTAAGTTAATCTGTCTTCTTTTATTGACAGTTTCAAAGTCCACCAAGGCCGTCGCTGTCGA